GGCAGCACACGCCCTTCGATCACGGAAGTTGGATAAGGTAAGTCATTTTAGTCAAAGGCATGCCACTGTTACCCCTCTTTTAATGCTCTGCTGCTCACCACAATGACTTCTCCACCATCACAGACTTATGTTTATATGAAAAGTAATTAAGAAAGCTGTATTTCGTTTTTAAGGCCTTGTGTTCAATTGGTCAGGTTTAAAACATTGTTCTCAGATAGGGTCACAGAAAAGAGAAGGGGTCCAGGAATGTAACTGCAGCCGGTATGGGAAGGTGGATTGTCACTTCAGATGTAGTTGTTTCAATTTTCCTTCCACTCTGATAATGAGTGGTAAAGACAAGAGTCAAGTAAGTGTCCTTTGAGAATTTAGTAGAAGGGAAAGTGTTACAGGCTTGGTCAGGAAGGACTTTTGGTGATGAAAGGGGTGAAGAAGACATATAACTGAAAAAGGAGAGAGCAAAAGGGACTCCGGGAGTGTAAGCAAACACATTCTCTCTTAATAACTGATGTATGTGAAACTTCTCTTTCAGTTGTATGAGGCATGTCGCTACCTTGCAGCTAGATGTCATGTGAGTACACATTTTAACCCCTACTGGAAACAAACAAAACTAAATAAAAGACACATCTTGGGAAGATTAGGTACCTGATCGGCAGTGTGGATAGATGTATTCAGGTTTAAATTTTCTGACAGTTGATTTTATTCTTTAACTTTCAGTTGGGTCACTGGAGTATCCATTGTGGCACTTACCTGAAGAAATCCAACTGACCTTTTTTCCCAGGAAATAGTCCCTTAATATTTTGTGGGCAAAGAATGTGAACCATTTTGGTCTCACATCTTAATGTTTACACTTTTATTTGGCTGGTTGTAATCTGAGCAGAGGAGATGTGACTTATGGTTGTATGACTATAGTTAGCAGCTTTATACTTCTTTATGAAGTGTCATACATAAAAGGTAAAGTGCAGTGCTTTCAGAAACACAACTGAATCAATTGATAGATTAAATACAAAAATTTGAAATAGAATAATGTGCTGCTTATAGAATAAGATGATGGTATTTTATTAAAAGTTGTGTTAACTATTTTTAGAACTATACCTGTCTCTCTGACTGCACAATGCTGAATAATATATTTTTCTGTACATACTTTAGTTTATGATTTTTGCATATTATTTTATCATTTTGCATATTATAGATGACCAGTAAAAGAGATGACTGGAATTATAAAATGACAACTAGCCAAATAAGAAAATGCATGCATGAAAAACCTGCTGGTAAACACTAGCTGATAAAACCTATGCCTTTGAAACATGATGCTGTGTTTATTGATGCTTTATGTACAAATTTTTCAAAACCTTGTTTTTTACATGCATGTGTTTGGTTAGTATGCTGCAAAAGAGCATCAACAGGCCTTGGATA